AACTAGGAAAACCGAAGTGGAAATGCAGTGGCCAAAGAGAGAAGTCACTGACTTAGAGTAAAACCTAACTTCATTCCACCCTCCACAAGCTGTTCTGATGAGAGAAAGTTAGTTGGTAAAAAATAGATAATTATCTCTAAAAAGAAGTATTTGAGAGGCTGAGTTGATATACTAGGCAAAGGTAAATTTAAAAAATATAGACCTTGGGAGAAGCATGCCTTACCTGGAGAGGAGGGATGCTCTCAACATAACAGGGGTGTGGTCCAGGGTCTAACTGTGTGCCCACCCTTGGCAATGAGATGTGCCGCCTATTAGGTTAAATGAAAACTGATGCAAAACATTGAGGGACTCACAGAAGAAAACAATAAGGCTACACATGGCCCAGGCTGAGCACACTGTATGCATTTTGCCCCCCAGGCTTGAAGATGTTTGTAGAAAGCAGTATGTTACATCAAACTACTGCTTAGAGGAAAAGACAAGCGGATGTCAGCTAAGAAAGACAGGGTGTTCAGAATAAATCATAGATACTTTATCACAGCTAATAGAGGGTCTGGATAGAACTGCATATGTTAGACATGTCCAAGATAAAAAAAAAAAAAAATAGTCCATGACAACTCTCTAAATACGCACGGCAATGTAAAATATCTAAAAGCAAGAGAAGCAGCCATAGCAAAGGAAAGAAATTAATAGAGTATCAAAAAAAAAAAAGAGGCAGGATAAAAAAAACTTCCACTAGAGCTGTTTTGATAGAAGAGTTTTAAAAAGAGCATGAATTTAATAAGACTCAATGTCACAATGATAAAACATCCTGAATGATAACAGAGAGAGAGAGAGAGAGAGAGAGAGATTATATAGCTACATAAACACAAGAAACATCAATATAATTACAGAATAGTGAATTCTGGAAGCGGCTGAAATCTAATTATAAATGTAAAATAAAGACTAAGATAATCCCCATGAATCAGCAAGACAATAATAAAAAAGTAAATAAATAAATAAATGCAAAGATAAAGCCAATTCAACAAAAGAAAGATTAACGTTTTTCATGTATTTAATCCATTGGGTACATATATGTGTAGTTCTTTTCAACTAATAATTTTACTATAATTCTATGTCTGCAATTATAGTAGAAAATAA